GACAGGAAGAAATTGCTGTTGCTCAGACAAGAGATGCTTGTGATTTGGAATAGGGTGATGGTTGGGGAGATATGAGAAGTATAAGAGTTTTGTATGTATTTGGAGGGTGGATTAGCAAAACACATAAATTGCATGGAGAGAGGTGAGTCCTTTGTTTCTCTCTTGAGAAACTGGATAGATGGTGGTACCACTGAAACAAGTGGAAAATCCTGGATAAGGGTAAGTATGGGGGTGACTGATAAAATGTTTGGATTTAGACCCTCTGATCTTGAAATAGGTAGTAGGCAATTGAATATGTAAGGCTACTGCTGGAAATTAAAGGAGTCCATCCATTGTGGAGTCGTAACAAGATTGGATAAATTCGCCCAGTGAAAGAACAGAAACAGAGGAGGAATGGGCCCAGCTAAAATCCCTGAACTTTAATATTTATAGGTCTGGTAGACTCTGAGCTGTTGTTTCTTTTTATTTTAATTAATTAATCATTTCCTTTGCATTGTTGGGGAGTGTGAGCTCCAAGAAGCAAGGGCTAAATTTGTCCCCTTCTCATCCCAGGGCCTCACAAAGGACCTAGAGGCTCAAGAGGAAACTGGCTGCAAGATCTCTTCAGTACTTGGCAAAGTGCTAAAGATTTATTTCCTTTTGCAAGTTTAAACTGCCCTCTAGTGGAGGGTACAAGCCGGCATTCAGGCCTGGCTCTCATTCTTTGTTTCTGTTTTTGTCAAAGCAAGTCCCAGACTCTCAGATCAGAGTGACAGAGGTCTCTTTCCCTTTTCTCCTTGAAGCCTGTGGACACTTGTGGGCTACCTTCCTTTTCTATGGAAGATGCTTGGGCCCATCCTGGCCTTATGTGGAACTCTGCACAACTGTAGATAGAGAGACAAGATTCCCCAGGGTTGGCTCCTCCTAGGGTAATGTGTGTGGGGTGCTTCCTCCCCTTCTCTGCTGTCTGGAATAGGCACTGTCCTGGTCCACCTGTTCTCAGATACTCATTCACATGGACATTCAGTGACAGGTGCTCGTGGGACTCCTTCACTATCCTATAGGGTATTCTATTTTGGGGGGAAGCTGGTGGGCTGGTTTGGGAACAGAGAGCCTCAAACCCAGGCAACTTTTACTAGCTTTGATTCAGGTAATGATGCCAAGGATTAATCTGTGATTGTGGGAGGTCATTGGGCAGCAGCAGCTGACATGGTCCAGGGCTCTAGATGCTTGAATGGTACCTGGAGCCATTTGGCTAATGACATTATAATATTACATTGTATATAAAAGAAACAGTATTGATTTAGTTTGGCCCTTTAGTAAGTTGATCTTAGTAGTGGTGCTAGCAATACCAAGAGGAACATGACATGGTCCTTGCCTTTAAAGAACTCATAGTCTCTGATACAATGTAAGAAGCAGACTAGGTCTC